ATATATATATTATATATATATATATATATATAGTGTGTGTGCAGTCTATACCCTGATATATTCAGGTATATTGTATGGTTTTCGTCCGTGGAACGGGCTGTGTGTAGCTGTCTGCTACTTTGTTTCCTCTTCTGCTTCACGTGCGGCTGCATCATGCATATTGTTTTTTTTTTGTTCGAACGACAGATACTACCTCATGGACACAGGGGAAGTCTCCGATTTGCTCGGCGCCTTGAAGCTAGTCTCAGAAACGGTTTGTCACCACCAACAGCAGGTCTATATGTAAAACTCCTGTTGCTGCAGCTGATGCCTCAAGCGTATTCATGCCCGCACATGTACGCAGGCACATATGTGCAGTTGTATATACATATATGGAGAAATGCGCATTTGTTGTGTCTGTGTCTTCTGCTGTCAGTACGATGCGTTCCACCACAGCCAAACCCTGGGGCCCCGTGCCTTCGCGACAGTGCGGCCTGATCTTCAGCAGCAACAGGAGCAACATCAGCAGCAGGGAGGCCACGACGAGGAAGAGGAACCCGTGCCGCCCCCACGCCACCGGCACAGCCAGCACCACCAGCTGGAGCAGCAGCAGCAGCAGCACTTGCTGCTGCAACAGCATCAGTCTGCGGACAGTTTTGGTTCAAGTATGGCCCATCATAGTCTGGCAACAGAAGGAGACATTGAAGGAGAATTTCCCCGGTCTCCTACTCCTTAAGCAGGATTCGCTGCCGCAGTGTGACCGCCCGTGGGGTGTACGGACACCTGGTGGGGGTGTATAGATTTGCATCACTGTTTTGTGATTATATGTTTTGCTCTTCTGACGCGCTCAAATGTGTGCCTTAGCCAAGGCCTTTCTACTCCGCCCTCTGAACTCCTCAACTTGCACTGCGACACCCGGCTGTTGCTAGCTTGCTAGCTATGTGGTGCAGAAGCAGCAGCACCAGCAGCGACAGTGCCTGTCTGCTGTCGTACAGTTTTCTACCGCAGATCTGGGGAAGCAGACGGATGGTTTGCTGTCTGTCGGTGGCTGAACCTCAAAGCGCCTTCTTCTTTGTAGTTGTGTTGTTGCTGCTGTCGTTAATGTTGCTCTTGCATTGCTGGGAGGCTGGGGTCCCTTTCAACCGCAGTTTTGTGGGTGGCGTGAATTCAAACACGGTTTAGCCCCAACAGCGAACTTATGAAGTGAGGCAAAGTGGGGATACGGACGCAAGGGAGGCGGGGGGGCTTCTTTCGAAGATACCAGAGACCTCCTTAATGTGTCATTTCCTTCCCCTCATCAATGCAACCAGAGAAGCAGTAGGGTGAACACAGGACCGCTACCCGTTGGTGTGCTGTGGCGTCGGAGCGGTTTGTGAACTGCAGGAGCAGCACAAACAGCAACAGCGATAGCAACAGCAGGCATTACATTCGGAAACAGAAGCCCCTGCCGTATTCACCGCCGTAAATTTGGAAACAGCGGCCTGAGCAGCCGCTCCAGCAGCAGCCACTGCAGCTCCAACAGCATATGCATGCTGCAGCCCCTTAAATGCCATGTCGCAGACATTTTGTGCATGCGTTCATGGGACAGCATTTCCACAGGTTATCTTTGAATTCGCATTGTTGCCCATACTTCAGCCTCCATAATAAAATATGCGAGTACCCCTGAGATGAGGCAGACGCTGCCTGGTTGCGCATACCCAACACCTAGCAAGGATGATGCCAAGCACAGTTTATTATACTAGACATTTCACTGCATTATTCGAATACCTTTGCATATTCCTGGCCTCTAAGGGCCGGCGAGGTTTTACACGATGGCAGTAAATTTGTTTTACCTGCGAAATTTGCCCCCCACGCAGTAAGTGTATATAGGAGGGTTAAATCATAGTTCACCAATCTCATAGGAGGAGGTATGAGATCACCTTACGAAACCTTGTTTAGGCTGTCAGGAGCATCGTCATCGTCTGCCAGAATGCAAAGCCCTTTGATATTGATGGATGGCACGCAAACTAAATATAATAATCATAAAACAAGATAATAATAACGCTAACATAATTATAATAATAACAATAAGACTAAAATACAATATTATATCACTTTCTAAAGACTACTTACTACATATATAACATATATCCACTCTATATAGAAAACTGTCTTTAAATGATTCCCCCTTCCCCGTACCAATTCGGCTGCATGTACGGACCCACAAGTCTATATTTTAGTTGCCTGTCCACTAAGTACTTAAGTAAAAATTAAAATGCAAAGCACTAAAAACTAAAAGCACCCAAAATGCAGGACACCGTGAGCAAGATCCCCCTCAATCGAACGGTCACAAGGAATGAAAACCGGCAGAAGTCAGCCTTTCCAAATATTCCCCAATTAAATGTCAAAAGCCTCATCACTCTCAGAGTATGAATGATGAGTGGTTGAGCTAGCTCCCTGAGGTGTTTACCTGGTGCACTTAGCTTCAAGGGGAGGCGGTGAAAATAACAACTTTCCCTCCTCTCTTCAAGGGTTGGCACGAGCACACGGGACTCTATGGGATCTAGTCAGCCAATCAACCGTATCTTCAGATAATGTGATTACAGAATATGCTTAATCGAGGCTGTTCAGACGCAAAGGCGACGCTTCTTGGGGGCTTCCAACGGCGTCGAGAATATCAGCCACACTACCCTACAGTAGCCACGTTCCCAGGTCCTGGCATAGTCGTATCATCTAACTCCATTTCTAGCAAAGGGGAACTTGTCCAGTAGTAGGAAGACCAGTAACCACAGAGTTAGGAGGTTCTGAGGGTGAAGAGGTGCTAGCGCTGCTTCTTGCATGTTGCAAAGTGGACCTCATATCTGGAGCTACGGCCAGGAGATGCAATCCTTCAGGCCATTCATAGGCACAGCCTCTGTGGAGACGCATTACAAACGGTAGGTACTACTGCGATACATATTCACAACTGAGTCATGTTGCAGTGGTACGGGGCTTTTGCGTTGGAACGGTACACCATGACATAATCGTAAGCATACCGTGGGTGATACAATAGAGGGAGAGGAGAGCATAATGGCACCTATGAGATGTAGGTTCAAGGAGGCGGGGTGAGGATACAGCAAGCACTGCTTCCAACGGCTTGTGCATTCTCTAATCTTAGATGAGTGGAACGAGTGTCCCAAGGAGCAGAAAGGCGAAGAAGCTCCGACATAGTGCAGAAGCGCTATGAGAGACGGGAAAAGCGCATGCGTTTGGAGGGTCGTCTGCAGACCGAATTTTGGGGATACCGGATCCAGTTTGGATCCGAGAGACACCACAGGAGGGCTCAATTTACGGAGGAGTTTTCAGTTGTATTAAGTAGCAAAGAGCTGCCAGCGGACAGGCAACCAGCTAGGCGCTTAGTGCATCGCATCGAACTCATCCCTAAAACTGCTGTGGTGTTCCAAGGCAAACGCAACACCCACATCTTGAAGCGGAGATCGAGAGGCAAGCAGACAAACTACTAAGGAAAGACACAATGCAGCTATCAGCTAGTGTGCCTGGCTAGAGTCAAGCGTTGGAGAAACAAAAGAATGGCGGGTGCCGCATGCGCGTCGACTTCAAGCCGCTCAACAAGGCCAAGGTAAATCAGAAGTCCCCGACGTCCCGTATCGCCGCCCTACTCAGGTTCGTAGGATTCAGAGGTGTATTTACCAGTGGACTGCTCTGATCCTTTCTGATAGACCCCAAAACACACCGATTACAGTCATAATACTGCACTTCGTATGCGGATGGGCGCATTCGTCTACACGTGTATGCCCTTTGGGCTCTTTAGTGCACCTGATGAACTGCAGTACAGGTACACGTAAACCATAAGTTTATGCGCCCAATTAGGTATGAATGGCAATATATATGAATGGCTTGCTCATATTCAGTCTGAATGAGCAAGAGCACGAACTACTACTCGACAAACAGCGATTCGTGAAAACACAAAACCGTTCGTTCTTACTCAATCAACTAGCTTCTGGTGGTTTCATGTGTCAGCAGCGGGGTGAGGTGAAGATGGATGCCATTCGGGGGTTGCAGCCACTCTTCTACATTCGTAAACGGGTTCAGAAGCTCCTTGGTCTCGCATTGTACTGTCTCAACTTCACTTCCGGTTTCCCAAGCATCGCCCCCCTCTGGCGGAACAAAAAGTGCATAAACAACACTGGGTGCTCTTTTGAGTTGCTGGTTTGCTGAGAGAGCATCATCGCGGTTACCACGCCACTGGCCTCAGTTGCTGAAAAGAAAGGCCTGTTTGAATCAGTGAAAGCGAATACAGGACACCACACCAGGCATATAACGAGGCCAAATGCATCTGTGCAAATCGTTGGTGTCCTGCATCCTCGGTCTACACCGCTCCATCTTTGGCCAGAACGACATTAGGCCAGGCTTCTGCGAGCTGGAGACGTACGTCTAAAAGCTCAGTCTTCCCTACACAGCTTGCCATTGGGCGTCGGTGCATGGGGAAACTATATGAACTCCAGGCCACACACGACAAACGGCTTCTTCAGCTACTGTCAAACCAGCCAAATTGCGAGACTCAAACTTCGCTCCAACAAGTCATCATCATTACGCCTTGTTCGGGTTTACCAAAAGATGTAAACTCAGCAGCCACAACCACCGTTGATCAGAGCGCTGTGCAGTTCAACATGTTTTCCACATCCGGAAGAGGGGTTTTACCCAAAACGCGCAAAACTATGTCTCTACCAGCATCGGCAAGCAACTCGATACTCACTGGTGCTGGACAGGCAGCAGGTAAGCAGAACAGCAGAAGACGCAGAATGGCGCCTTTACGGCGCTACAACCGAATGGAATTGGAAGCGAATACAGCCCTATACATGGCACACAACATGGCCGATATCGGCGCATGACATTGTTCTACTTGCTCTAGGGGAGGGGGCTCATGTAGCATCTGCAATGCTGACAAGTCCCTCAAGCGGGCAAACGCATCCTGACCCTGCCGTAGTAGACAATCGGTGCGCCATCAAAAGTTCGCAACAGTTATCAACAGTGTTGACGTATACAGTCACAAAGGTTTGTTGTTGCTTGCCTGTGGGGCTACCCAGCACCGTGAGTTACGGCAAGGCGCATTGCAGCTCAAGACAGGCCGAATCATACCAAGTGGCTCCTGGCGCTTGAGCCGTCTCCCTCAGGACACGTGGAGACTTGGGGAATTCATTTCGGTCTAAGGGACTTTCACGCCTGTCCGCTCAGCTCCAGTCTAGAACAGTCTCTGGACAGCCACCCAGGACACGCTGTTTGCCAACCGCCCCCCAACCATCCTACGTCCCGTGCCACCATATTGCTCTAAAAAGGCTGTGGCCTTGCGAATGTGCCATTCTTCTGAAAAGAAAACCATGAGAGCTGCAACTGCCTCCTACTGCATCGAGCTCCGTCTACAATGCGGTGCAGCCTAAGGAGGCCTGCCGCCGGGCTGCTACTGCTGGGGTGCTTTTGCTTTAATTCTGTTTTAAATATATTTGTTAAACTATTTTTATTTTTGATGCAAATCGGGTTTGCTGTTTGAAACTTCTACATCCGGCAGAGATGGTAAAGGAGCTGCCGCACAGAGCAGCAGCGGTGGGGCACTGTAAGGCAGTAAACCAGTCGACTGTAGCTGGCCCGTCGCTGTGGCTACCTTCGATTAATTGATGTTTGCATTCTTTAAGAAGTGGCAGCTGCAAGATTTACAAAAGCTGCTGTTGTTGCTGCTGCTGCCGACGAGGCCTTCTGCAACGTTGACGCGCGGCAGGAGCAGTGGCAGCAGACCATGGGGAGCAGCAGCAGCCGCCGCCACAGTAGCAGCAGCAGCAGCAGCAGAAGCGATGCAGCGGTCCTCAGTACTTCTATTTTTCCAACTCAAAAATGGGGCCTCAGCTGCCCCCGAATGTCGCGTCGGCTGTACATAACCCTGAAGTGGAGTATGCCCCCTCTGTGAGGTCCTTAGGCGTGTCGCTGTTGCTGCTGTTGCTGTAGCTGCTGCTGTAGCTGTTGTTGCTGCTGCTTGTGCTGCTGGTGTTGTCGCCCCTCCTTGCTCTCCAACAGCAGCTTGTACCACAACCCCACCATGTTCAATTGCCTCTTTGGCCTCTGCTCTGCCTTCTTGGGCAGTGAGGGGAGGCACAGAAGCAGACGCTGCTGCTGCTCAGCGACCTGCTGCTGGAGCTAGAGGGTTTATGCTTGATGGACTTGGATTTAGGTTTTGAACTGTGGGCTGGCTGAGGCAACGGGCGTGCTGCTTCGCCTTCTTGGCGCATCTGCGTGCCCTTTGCTGCTCGTCAAGGGATCTAGGGAGTTCAGGGTTGCCTCTGCTTTTACTACTGCTGCTGCTGTTGTTGCAGGAGGTTGGGGTAGGCGATTCCTGCGCGGGTTTCAGCATCAAGACCAAGATCGAACAGGTAAACCCCGCTGATGTTAAGGCGTCTCTTGCGTGTAGCCGCTGGCTGGCGCGGGTTTGTGCAATCTTTGTCTGGGTGATCAGCGAGGGTTGCTGGTCTAGGGTTTTAGGTTTTAGGGTTTAGGGTTTAGGATTCGAGCCACCCCCCACAGCCGCACATCTCTTTAGAGGGGTGCGCGACAAGGGGAACAGTGCTTCTGCCTCGCATATCGGCTTTTCTCTGTTTATGTTTGTTCTGTTCCCCTTTAATAAACCCTTTTGTCTTTGTACTCCGATGAACAAAGGCTGTTGTCTCCTGTCGCCCTCTTGCCACAGACGTCCGAGAATCAGCGCAATGCGGGTCACAAGTGAGCAGCAGAGGCAGCAGCAAGGCAGCAGCAGCAACAGCAAAGCAGCAGCAGCGAGGCAGCAGCAGCGAAGCAGCAGCAGTAGTAGTGCTCACACCAACAACAGCACCAGTAGTAGTTTTCAAACCTGCAGCAGCAGCAGTAAGGCCAGCAGTACCAACAGCAGCAGCAGCAGCTGCAGCAGCTGCAAGACCAACAGCAAGACGCGCTCTAGATTTTAAACATTCGACGTTCGCCTCTCCTTCTTCTGTCTGCTGTTGTTGCTGTTGCTTTTGCTGCTGCTGCTGCTGTCCCTGCTGCTGTTGTTGTTTGCGTGCTTGTGCTGCTGTTGCTGCTGCTGCTGTGACAGGTCGGACTTCAAGGCTGCTCCCTGTTCTCGCTTTATGAGAGGTAGATGCCATGCGGGCTCCAATTGCAAATACGCGGTAAGCTTCGTTGCTACTGCCCGTGCGGCTGTCTCTGCTGCTTGCTCTGCTGCTGTACCTGCTTCAGGTGCCACAGCTGCCTTCGCTGCTGGCACCACTCCCATCTTTACTGCCGCTGTTTCCGCAGTTGCTGTTGCTGCTGCTGTTTTGCTGTTGCTGCTGCTGCGCGGTCTGTCGTTATTGCTGCATCTGCATCTACTGGCATTTCTGTCGCTGCTTCTTTTGCGGTTGCTGCTCCAGCACTCAGCAGCAGAGCTGAGACCTTTTACTCAGGAAGATGGGGGGCCCCTGCCTGTGAGCCTCAAGGCCAGCAGGAGGGGTCCCCATGGGGGCCCCCAGCGCAGCGGCCTGAAGGGTGGGCACCAGCAGCACCACCAGCAGCAGCAGCTGCGCAAGCATGTAGCAGCGTCGCAGCGCTTAGGCTTTCCGGGGATGATTGCTGCCCGCGGCAGCAGCAGCAGCAAAAGCGGTGGTGGAGGCAGCAGCAGCAGCAAGAGCAGCGGCTGCAGCAGCACGAGTGTGAGCAGTACGCCGAGCAGCAACAGTAGCAGCGGCTGCAGGAGCAGTGGCGGCGTTGCAGCAGCAGAGCTGGCACACTCACGAATGCAGCAGCAGCTGCTGCGCGATTGTGAGGCTTTGTTGAGCTGCATGGGTTTAGCTGCTGCAGCTGGGTCAGGTGGCCCTCCCATCCTTGATGTTTACAGGGGGAGAGGGGGCTCTGAGGGTCCCCCAACACCTCTTACGCTCCATACACGGCAGAGTGTGGGATCACACACAGGCCCCTCTTCTCGCTGCGATCAGGACTGTCGGGCCACGTATTCGCTAGAGCAGCAGCTGCAGCAACAGCTGCTGCTGCAACAACAGCAGCAGCAACAGCAGCAGCTTCTGCAGCAACAACAGCAGCAGCAACAGCAGCTGCTGCAGCAACAGCAGCAGCAGCAGTATTTAATGCAGCAGCAACATCTCCACGAAGCCCTACTGCAGCAACAGGGGTTGAACGAGCAGCTGCAGCAGCGCCAGCAGCAGCGGCGGCAGCAGCAGCAGCAGCAGCAGCAGCCGGAGGCCGACCTTGCAATTGAGGGTCTCTTGGCGCAGCTAGCGGTGCTGCCCTTACCTTCCACAGCAGAGCAGCAACAACAGCAAGAGCAGCAACAGCAGCAGCAACAGCAGCAGCTGTTGCTGCAGCAGCAGAAGGTATTCCAGGAACAGCTGCAGCAGCAGCAGCAGCAGGTGTTGCTGCAGCTGCAGCAGGACCTCCCATTTTTCTTGAGTGCGGGGGGTTTGGGGGGTCCCCCCGGGTTTGGCCAGGGCCCCCCTCCATTTCTCTGCAGCAGCAGCGACAGCACCTCCCTATCAAGTTCAGAAGCCCGGCTGATTGCACAGGACCCTTCTCCTTTGCTTCATGTTGCAGAGGACCCCGGGTCCCTTGGGGGCGAGTGGAAGAGCAGCAGCAACAGCAGCAGCAGCAGCAACAACAGCAGCAGCAGCAGCACATGAGGCTGCAGCGGGGCGCCCTAAACGAGTTCTGCTTCGAGCGCCTCTTCCTGCCCCCACATCATAAAATCTAAGGAGGCCCCAGAGGCCCCTCAGAACAATCTTCAGATTCAGGTGACCCTGCAATTGTTGCAGCAGCAGAAGCAGCAGAAACAGCAGCAGCAGCAGGGACCCGCCGCATGTCTAACATATTTAGTGCATTGACTTCCACTCAGCCGCCTCCCATACGCCCCGAAGGCAGCGACGTTATGGGGCTTTCTGTTGGGTTAGCTGACTGGCTAGCTGGCTAGCTGGTTTGGAAGAGTTTATAGGGGCCCCCATGGCCCCCCCAGTTCCTCCTCTCTCTACCTGTGCACACCGCCGTTGCAAGTCTGGGGTTCATCGTGCCACCTTGGGGGCCCCGCTGTTTTGTCTGTGAACGAGCGAGCTAGCTGAAGCAAGGGCCAGCAGCAGCAGCAGCATCAGCAAGAAGCAGTGGGAAGCAGCAGGAGCAGCGCGCAGCAGGAGCGGCGCGCAGCAGCAGCGGCACCAAGCAGCAGCGGGGAGCAGACAGACAAGCAGGCAGTTCTTTGGGTTTGCTGTATTCCGTGGTTATCTGTTATTAATTTATTTATTGAATAATCTTACAAGTGAGGCGCCTACGGCTGTCTGGCGTTTGACTCCCTTCTCCATTTTCTACATTTTCTTTCTATCCTGTTTTGCAGCATAGTGGCTTCTTATTTTGTTTGTCTGGGTGTTGCTGCATCAAGCATATCCTTATTTTCCTTTTGTGCACCTTCTCTAGCAGTGCCCAGGGGCCCCCTCGCAGAAGTAGCGGGGGACCCCATATACGCAGGCTGCCACAAACCTTTGGCGCCAGGGGCCCACCGACCGCTGCTTTCTTTCTCTAGGAGACAGCAGCAGCAGATTGCTGCTGTCTACAAGGAGATACTAGCGAGCAGCGGCTTGCTGCTGTCTTTCCCTCAAAGGAGACACGAGCAACGGCCTGCTGCTCTCTCCCGAAGGAGACAGCAGCAGCAGCTTGCTGCTGCAAGTAGACCCGCCCTTGGCTTGTTTCCATTGATGGGATAGGTGGGCGCTGCATGGCTGCAGCAGAGGAGACGGTCTTCGTTTGCTTACCGTCTCCATTTGCTTGCTGTCTCCTTTTGCTTGCTATCTCCTTTTGCTTTCTGTCTCCCCTTGTTTGGTTTGTTCTTTGGAGAGACAGACAAAAACGCAAGCGCTCCTTCAAAGCCGCAGAGAAGACTATAATATACCGAAAGAATATCGCAAATGTAAACAGATGCACTTAACATAAGCACACGAGCTTAAGTGCTTAAATATACTTGGGCACCAGTAGAGCTTAAGGAAACGCATGGAAGCAGCACAGGGCAGCACATTACTTGCTGCAGAACGACGTAGATAAGGACTACCTGTAGGTGATTCAGTATGTCGAAGTACGTATATGGGAAGGCACACACATCTGGGGGTTTGTACAATCTGTGGATGTATCTGCCTTCGCCTCTGCGAAGAAACAACAATGAAGCATTCTACCTTGTACCTACGTGCACGGACGGATGGAATCGCAGTGCACAGTATGTACATATTTGAGCTGGTTCTCTCCAAAAGGGAGAAACACGAGCACTGAGGGGCGGCGTTGGGTTGCTCTTTGCTGCTCTTAAAAAAGATGGGGATTGCCTTCTTGCAGATAGCGGAAACCTGTTAATGCGGTCATTAGAGAAAGCAGGGGAGAGGTGTTGTTTTTGCTGCTGAGGCGACTGCTGTCTCGGTTGCTGTCTGTGCGTCTGTGGTGCTGTCTCGTGCAGTTCCGTTTCTGTCTCCGCTTTTGTTTCTCGTTTGTGCCCCTTCGGCCTCCTATTTTGCCTATATATCCCCTGTATCCTTGTTTTGTAGTTGGTGCTATTTGTTGTCCGCTATTTGTTGGTGCTCCAGATAATCTTCATGTGCCTCCGTAGGCTCATAAAACTCTGTCCTAATATATGTTTCAACTTATTTATTATATGGGCTATATTAACATGCTCCATTTCTGTCTTTTTGGGCCTCCTTTGGGTCTCTCCGCTCTGCCTCTGTTCGTGTCTGGGGCCTTCTTGTGTCTGTATACTTGAAAAAGGCCTCTCTACAACAAAACACAACCCCGTGCAATATATGAGTCAACTTTCTCTCTGCATGCATAAGTATGTTTTTTATATATAATTAGGCATGTACATGTGTGTACACTTGTGCAAATCGACATGTAGGCATATTTACTAGGCTGATACAAACGGGTCGGTAAATACGGAAATTATATATATATATATATATATATATATATATATATA